ACGCTCACTTTTATCACTTGTTACCTTGCTATTTTTATATTTTTAGATTACGAATACCTTTATCTACCATCCATATTGCACTTGTATCACCATCTCTTCGCCGAACTAGTGCGCCTATACAATTTACCATTGTATTGGGTGTGTTGGGGACACAAGAGACTCTTTGTTATTTGGTTGCAGGGTTGCTTGAGAGAGGCCATCTTCATCCTACGCCTCCTACGGATTGATAAACCTTAGGTCATCCACTTGAGGGAAATTTGCTACTGTCCTACAAACGTGTGCACTTGCAGGCCCAACAACGTCTACAAGAAGAAGGTTGTGTAGTAGACATCAAGTTACCACATCAAAAGTTGAAGATATTGCAACTTCAGAAGAATTGGAACATTCAACAGTAGAGATAGTGTTACCACACTCAAGACATTTTAAGCAAGGTTGCACAAACTCTTCCTGAGCGGAGCTGATCTATTGAGAGAGTAATGAATCGTTTTTCCTTTTGAAGATCTTCATGAGATGCTCTCAGTTTTTCTAGATCTTGCTTTCTATTAAGATAATCATAAGAAAGCTTCTCATGATTACCTGAGAGGGTTTCATGACGACTTTCAAGTTCATCATACTTAACTCGAAGATTTTTTACGTCTTCGATTAAGGATGGAGTTTGAATCATTTCCTCGTCCAATAGGTCATCGCTTTTGTCTAACAGTTTCTAAAACTTTTCCCTGGCAGTTTGTTGCTCAGTTGAAATTTTGGTAGGAGTTTTATAGCTGGGTTTGGATTCACATTCAAAGTCATCTTCACTAGAGGTCTGAATGTAAGCATCGCGTGAGTTTACCTTAGCACCTCTTGCCATGAAGTAGTAGGTAGGAGCAGAGTCGTTGTCATGATTGGCTTTAGCGTCGGTGACGTGACCATTGTCTTTAGTGTTGAAGATGGACTTGGCGACGAATGTCGAAGCTAGAGCTAGGCTTGCGACGCCTAAATCAGACTCCTCCTCTGACTCCACCTCAGCCTCCTCTGAAGCAGTCTCCTCCTCTAAATCCACTTCCTTGCTAATGAAAGCACGGGCCTTGCCAGATGAGCTCTTCTTATGCGATGAAGACTTTGAAGAAGACTTTGAGGATTTCTTCTTCTTCTTTTCGTCGGAGTCATATTCGTTGCTCTCTTTTTTCTTGGCTTCCTTTTCCCATTGAGGACATACAGGTATGTAATGGCATGGGTTCTTGCATTTGTGGCATGTTCTCTTCTTGTAGTCACGAGTGGACGTCTCAGCATTCTTGGAGATGGATTTTGAAGACTTTCTGAAGCGATTCTTCTTGGAGAACTTTTGAAATTTTCTCACAAGAATTGCAACCTCCTTGCCAAGATCTTCAGGATCATCAAAACTGCAGGTAGAGTCTTCAGACGAGGAAACAACCTTTGCCTTCAAAGCACAGGATCACCCATAGTTAGGACCATAGATATATCTCTTCTCAGATAGCTCGAATTCATGTGTATTGAGCCTCTCGAGTATATCAAATGGGTCAAGATCCTTGAAGTCAGGACGTTCTTGGATCATCAGTGATAGAGTGTCAAATGAGCTGTCAAGTGATCTCAATAGCTTCTTCACGACTTCATGCTTAGTGATGTCAGTGGTGCCAAGTCCACAAAGTTCATTGGTGATATCAGTAAGACGGTCAAAGGTGAGCTGGACATTCTCACTAGCCTCTTGAAGAGGTTGAAGAGATTGCGAAGAACATCGATTCTTGAGTCCCTCTGAGTTGAGATGCGTTTGTTGACCTTGGCCAACCAGTCCCAGACCAGCTTTTCTGATTCCAGAGCACTCACATGGCCATACTGCCCTTTGGTCAGGTAACCACATGTGTTGTTCTTGGCGGTCGAGTCCAGTTGCGCGAATATCTTCACGTCAACAATGGTGACACCTTCACCGACTTTGGGAACACCATCTTGACGACATACCAGAGGTCGTTGTCAATGGCTTCCAGATGCATGCGCATCTTATTCTTCCAGTAGGGGTAATCAGTGCCATCGAAGACAGAGCACGTAGCAGAGACCTTGATTATCCCTATAGTCAACATAGCTAAAACTCCAGGTGGTTAAACCGAATCACACAGAATAAGGGAGCACCTTGCTCTAATGCCAATTGAAAGTGCTAGTTATCGACTAGAGCAAAGGTGAATAGACAATTTTTATGAAAGACTTCAAAATAGGCAATGTCTTCGAAGTCAGACAGTTGAAACAAAGCCTAAACAGAATACAGCGAAAGATAAAGTACACTAGCCATGCAACAGTTAAGGTATAGTACAGATAAAGCACTAAAACAAGAAGCAGCTAGGTAGATCAGATAGGAATAGGAAGACAATATGAAGCCAAATGTGCAATCAGGGATGAATGTCTTCACACAATGAATTCAACTAGGGCAGGCAAGCAATGACTTCGCGAAGTTAAACGGTGAGTATAGGGTGAAGTGATAGAACCAGTTGCTTGACGAAGACAAGGATTTGGTAGGCCGATTCACAACTGTACGTCTAGTTAGGAAGGCTGAGATTTAACTCAGAAGACCACGTCTTCACCTTATTTCCCTTGAGCTAAGGTCACTTAGTCCTCACCCAATCACTCAGGTAAGTCTTCAAGGTAGACTTTCAAACCTTCACAGACTTTGTTCACCGACGATCCACAATGAATCTTGGATCCTCAGAACACGAGCCTAACCGACTGGAAGATCACAGTCCTCAAGTGTAACAAGTTTTCAGATCACGCGGAACAGAAAGACTTCAGTGACGCCAAACACTCTTTGGGTTCTGGGTGTTTTAGGTCTTGTCCTTGCAAGGATTCTAGGCTTTGAAGGTGTGTTGCTCCCAAACGACAAAAGTCATACTCTTAACTCGGAGCAGCCACCAATTTATGGTGGAATGGGGGTGGCTATTTATAGTCAGGGGGCAATCCGACATAATATGTCTGAAATGACCATGTGTCAGTGGGGAACCGACAAGTGTCCAACGGTCAGATTTCGAACACACGCGACAGCTTGACTTGGGCTACAAGTAAAGTTGACTTATCCAGACCAGAATAAGTTTTTCTTTCATTGTCTTCACTTGAAGACATAGAATTTTGGTTGAGCATCATGTTAGTTTTCTGACTTTGTTCACTTTGACTCCACTTAACAGTTCGGTGATTCCTATGACTCAAGAAAGAAAAGAAAATGAAACTATGAAAGAACTATGTCTTCGCACTCCATTGTCTTCAAGCGAATATCTACACGCGTCATTATCTTCGACGCGAATGTCTTCGCGAACCACCAATGTCTTCAAGGTCTTCATAGGGGCCATCTTCGATGGGTAAACCAAATTAATAGGGCGGACTTCTACCTGTGTTTTCTGTGAATCTCACAAACACATTAGTCCCTCAACCAAATTTGTCGTCAATACTCCAAAACTAATTAGAGGTGACACTAGATGCATTTACAATCCTCCACATATTTTTGGATTATACATCTGCACTTGGATTGTACATCTGCACTGGAGTACTGGGATTGCTTGATTATTAACATGCAGAGAGGCATTTCAGCAGTGGATAAAATCATGCTCACTCTACAAGAATCACCTCCAAAGTTTGTTACCAAAATTATCATTATGGTCTGCCGGAATGTCTGGATGCAACGTAATTCTAAGATTTTCAAAGCTTTGCCCCCAATTAATCGCTTCATGAAAGAAACAACTGAGAAATGACCTTCCGCTGATCAAGCACCGAATCAAGTTGAAGTTTCAAGAGGCTTTTGTTAACTGGATTGACCAGAACCTCACAATACTCTAGGATTCCCAAGAACTAGTGTCGGCTAGATTAGTCTTTTGAACTGGTGTTGACTAGATTAGTCTTTTGGTGTTTTGTTTGTAATATATGTACATTTGTATTTATTTTTGATATATTATAAAATATACCGTAAAACGACTGCTCTATGATTTTCTGTTAAAAAACATTATGTACAAGTAAGTAATTAGGTGTCATTTATCATTAAGGATCAATACAGCCATGGCGGTGGTCAAAGTTGAACCACTCGAAAAATGTATAATTTGAATGTTATTATGCCACTAAGGATTTTAGATTCAACGGAATTCAAAAAGGAGGTCCAAGGATATTAAAATGTCTGCCTTTTTTCTTTGAGAAACTGTGATTAAAGAATAGTTCGTTTTTCTTTTGCCCCTTTTTTCTCTCCATATTTTCTTCGAATAAAGGAGGCGTTACGAGGTTGTTTCCAAAAAAAATGTTGAATTTCTTCCATTCCACTCCAGGCATGTTGTTCTACCATTGTATACCTTTTTTTCTCATCACTTGTACTTTGCTTAATAAATTGTACTTTATTTTGCTTAATAAAGTGAGAAAGGATGCGAGGCTTTTACTTCACAGTGTACAGTCAAGTCATTTTTTTGTAGAAATGCATATTTGGTGAGTGAAATTGATCATGAACTTGACGCTTGCTTCAAACTACATCGGTTATTAACTTTTAGCAGTCATGTACATGTAATAATTTGGATACACCAATTATGCAGCTTTAAAAAAAAATTCCTTCTCATTAATATTGTGGTATCTTTGATCCTCCGGTTGTATTATCTTCCCTTCTCGTCTCTCAACTGTGACTACAATGCCCATATTTATCAACTATATTTCCTTCATAAAGAAATATAAAAGAAACATAACAGCGTGATAGATCACTACTATTTCAATGATGTAAACTACTTTTATATTTTTTTTAAGAAGGGAGTATCTCACAAATTGTCTACGCATATATAGATGACGTAGCAGTTTATATAGAGGCGAGAGGCGGGAGGCTAGCTAGAGAGATTAATGATTAAAGCATGAGCATTCTTAGGTCTTAGCACACTTAGCACTAGATCATGCATCTAAATGTACAGATGAACGAGCTAATTAAGCCTGGCTCCAGAAAACCTAAAAGAACTCCTTAATCACCACTTAATTCTCAGGTCCCCTTTGGGGACAACTAAACCTCGTCAAGAGTTTCCCCATGCACCCACCGTGCTCCCCAGCTTCCTCTGCTTCCCGCCGCACCACCGACGTGCCCCACTGCCGCCGAGCGCCGGTCCAACGCCGCTGCCACCTTTGAGACCATCGTGCCCGGCGCCTCCGTTCCCATCGTCGCGCGGCCTCTTCGTGCCCACACCCAGAGCCGCTGGCAGTCTCCTGCCCCGGATCGCCTGAACGACTCTGAGCAGCATCATGACTCCCTCGACGTTGAGGCTCCACCACCCCAGGCCGTTGCTACGGCGGACCTCGCGGCGCGGCGCGTTCGTCCGGCTCGTCTCGATGGCGTCGAGCAGGTCGGACACGACGGACTTGCTCGGCAGCGCCGCCGCGAAGGCAGTGGGGAGTGCGCTTGTGCCGCGAACAGCGCCAACGCCGACACCGGCACCGAGGGTGATTGTCAGGTGCCGCGCGGGCTGGAGCGCGCCGGCGAGGAGGGAACGGTTCAGCAGCTTCACAACGGCCGACGTGCGCACGGCGCGCTCCATCTGCCTGGCGCTGCCGATGGCGGCAGGCGCATCGGCGGTTGCACGGCCGGGAATCATAGTGGGCCTCCCGAGGCGCTGTATCCTAGAGTGTGCACGAACCCATGGGTTCCAGTGCTGGCTCTGCTGGTCGCCGGCTTCCTCTCCACCTGAACATAATCGAAGAGTACAACAAATTAATTAGTTGCGGTACGATCTAGGCACTAGCACATCAAAAAAGAAAAAGTTGGGTCTCTCTCTAGGGTCGACACGTCTCAATGCGACATAAAATCAAGAGATTCGTGCATTTCTGTTGCTTAATGTCAAAAATTGGACCATATACTGAGATACCTACTTGGTAGAATATACATAGTACCCATGCAAGCTAGGCAGGCATATGTACAACAATGCTGTTACCTTCTGCATTGGAGAGATCCTGGTACGCACAGAACCGAGAGAAGATCTCGGCCAGTATGGCGCATTTCCTCTCCGCGGCCCCGGAGCCGACGGCTTCGTCCGGCGGCACGACGACTGCGTAGAAGAACCCCGGCAGCTCGAAGACGAAGACGCGGGCGTCAACGCGTGCAACGAGTGCGTCCCTGGCGAGCATCCACTGGTGGTCACCGACGGTGCAGGAGGCCATGGACACGGGGTGGCCCTCGACCCGGATCATGTGCACCGACAGTTCGCCGGAGCGGAACAGCTGCGAGCCCTCGAACCGGTCGCCACAGAGAACGAAGAGGCTCACCGGCGAGCCCTCGGCGGCGAGTAGCTGCGTGTCCCTGCCCATGCGGTACTCCTTCGTGCGCCCGACCCTCAGAGGCGGCCGGCTAGCATGTGCTCCTCCTCCTCCCCGAGACGCCATCAGTTTGGCAATGCTGCTCGACAGGAAGTCATCAAACGCGCGCACGTTACAATCAGAAAACACAAGGAGTCGTGCATGCGCGCACAATTGAGGCAGGTATAGCTGCACAGTCCCTAAAATGATTGAGCCGATCGACGAGGTCATGTTCCGTCTAGATATTTTCAGATACTTCCCATCGACACAATATATGCTACCCGTGACAGCGATAGGAAAAAATCGAAACACATTCCGATCACCCATGGTCTGTTGCAACTAATACTTGCACGATCAATTACGCGAGCCCTACACATACGCATAGGTTGCACTAGTAGTGTACTAACAAACTACTCCATTACTTGTCACAGGTATGTACGTATCTAAACGTATTTTAGTTGTAGGTACATCCATTTCTGCGACGAGTAATTTGGAACGGAGGGAGTAGAAAGTAGTGTACTGCTTAATTCTTACCACACACAAGAAGTTCTCAGCTTCGGCCAAGTATTGCGACCTTCGAGATGCACGAGCAAAGCAGCTATAGGGAAGGGAGATACATGGGACTGCAAAAAAACCTGACAGGGAGAGGGGAGAAGAAAGACGAGAGGACGGATGTATGTGCGTATATGACTATGAGAGGGAGAGAGTGCAGGCAGCCACACTTAAATAAGAGACCGGCACTATGCGCGCGCTCTCTCCAGTTTGTAGGGAGGGAGAGGGAAGCAGAGCATGCGCGGGAGGAGGCCGGCCGAGGTCGCGCGTACGTGGGCGGCGAGGCCATGCATTCATGCATGCATGCACGCGCCACGCACGCGGGAGGGGACACCTCGCGCGCGCCCAGCCCATGTGCCCTCGCCTCCGCGCCACCTCGCCTGGGACCCAGTCCCGGCATGGGCCCCGCGGGGTTACACGTGGCCCCCACAGCGCTACGTGGTTGTTGCCCGTCCACGCGTGGGCTGCGCTGGCCCCTTGCATGCCGCTCCTAGCCTCGTACGTGCAACCGCTCATAGCCTTCATAGTACAGCTCGCGCGCGAGGTGGGTTTGGGTCGACTTCCCACCGAGATTTTGAATGGAACCGGTCAGTCAGTGTGGTCACTCCAACCGCGGGCCGGTTTACGTGTTTGTTTATGTTTATGTATATATATGTGGCACTTCTACATGGAAATGACCTTCGAAATCCAAATAAGTATGTAAGCATGTTTGCGGTGTAAATAAAGCATGTTGGTGGTTTAGCAGTTACTGTATATATCAGACCGGAATCTATGAGATACGCATCTGGTCTATACATACGAAAATGCTAAACCTACGAAAGAATCTACGTAAGGTTACGAAAGCTTCCAAACTAATCTAAACATCCCCTGATTTTCAGGGGGTGGGCCCCTCACTCCCCTAAACATCAATCCTATCCTTCCACGTTGGCTGCTACGTAAACTTAAGTAGATTCTTTACGTAAGTGTAGCATTGCTCCTATACATATATGATCAATGTTCTACTATAACGTATCAATCTCAACAGAAAATGTTCTGCACCGTACCTGCCAACTACCGCAGGTAGTTTATTCCTAATGCAGGACAGCCTTGAGGTGCATACGTGATACGTCCAGAGTAGACCGTGGCGATCGTAGTTATGCGCACGACCTTCCATGACTCTATAATTGCCGAGGTGTACTTTTTTTCTCCTAAAAAGGCGCAAATCTTAGCAGTAGTTCTATTTTTAGTTTCGAATATTTGAGGTTAGTTCTGTTTTTAGTTTCGAGCAGAAACATCGATATGCGCTGCACAGAAGTTGTCAAGCCCCACACCTCCTGACAAAGTTAACACTACAACACCCAAGTGTCAACAAAAGCCTTGCGTCTACAAAAGGTAAAACCGGTCATTTTTGCACCTACTAAAGGTGTCTAGCATGTGGGCTGTTGGTCACTTGGTCTCCTTCATTTTGTGGCATCGAATGTCTCCATCATCACCCGCCTTTTGTACAGCTGCTTGTACCGCGCACAACGACGTCAATAGCAGTGTTCCCTCGGTAACATAGATGCAAGTGGCGAATCACGCATGAAAATGAAGGGCAGGCTCTTCTCAGTACAAAGGGTTGGAACGGGTAAACAACAGGCTAGACACTAGACAGTGGACTGAGATAGGCTAGGAACCAGTAGTAAATTTTTGTTTCTCAATTTCATAGGACAGGCTTCACTAATAGAAAAGGGGGCATCTGTCCTGTTTCGTAAGGGTCTTTAGTTTCGGTTCATGAACCGGGACTAATGGATCGTTACTAATACCTTCACCCTTTAGTCCCGGTTCAAACACGAACCGAGACAGATGTGCCTCCACGTGACCGGTGCGCCGAGCCCAGGCAGGGGGGCCTTTGGTCCCGGTTGGTGGCACCAACCGGGACCAAAAGTCCATGTATTTCTTTTTTTTAAAAGTGTCTGCTTTAGGGGTTTTGGGGGTTATTTTTAGATTGTTATTAGCCTGCTAATAGAGAGAAGTCCTCTCTTATATCTTCGTCCTTGGTCCAACGCTGCTACTATGTTTATTTCACCCACTGATATAATAACTCATGCATGCTCGCATCATACATCATCATATATAATAACAAGTCCTACTAATCATGCATCATCATACAACTTTTACTCGTTATTAATAGTAAGTCATACGATCATCATCCTCATAGTCATCGAACCCAACCCTACATAATTGTTCTTAGCACATGATCATCAGTATCAGGTAGGACCTAAACACCCTTAAGGTAAAACAGCATAAAACAATATAGGCCTTGACTCTCCATTATGAAGAATGACGATCATCCTGTCTCCAATTCTTGCCCTTCGCTGCATTTTGCTTCCAAGAAACTCCTTACGACTGTCCATACATTTTTTCCATTCTTTGATTGTCATGTCTCCACTTCTTTTAGAAACCCGGTATGGACAGTTGAGATTCGTAGAAAGACCTAGTTGTATGTTTAAAACATGAAGGGTACCGTGCGTATACATCAGATGAGGCACACAATCATTCGTGATTATCTGTTCATAAACATAGTAATAATTTCGTAGTTAGCAATGATGTACTAGTTTTAAAAGTTTGCAAGAAGATGCACGGATGTCATAATAGTAAAAAATCTTACCAGGGTATCTCCATGGTAGTTACCGTAGTTCAACACATGCATTAGTGGCACGTATTGACCATAATGTTGAGGAGTTTGATTGTAGATATTGTAATTCTCAAGATCAGTACAAAATGCGACCAGATGATTTTTCTCCTGATAAGTTAATTCGGAGCCTTCGGTGTAGTAGGTTCTGTCTACCATCTTCCGCACATTCTTTGAAGAATGAAAATAAGCTGTCAATGCAAATAAGTTGTCAACTATTTTGAAATAAACAATATAAACTACTTAATAACTATGTTAAGCTCACATGGGGAAATAATTGGAGGTGTATTCACAAGGACCCAAATCGAAGGTCTCTCTTGCTCGATTGTAGGATCAACAAGATCCATGGTGACAAGCATACCCTCATCAAAACCATATATCTTGCAAAGTGCTTCCCAATTTTTGCAACCAAAATGGGTTACACTCTCAGCATTGTACAGCTTTACTTGAAAATCCACACCATGATGGGTGCTTAGGATAATTTTTTTGGTTTCCATACTTTCATGGTCTTCAAAACCCATCCTCTCCAAGACATAGCGTCTTGCATAGCATGGGATAAGCTAGTCGAATTGGAAAAGATGAAAAATACACGATAAAACAGTTGAAGTCGTGCTTAATTACGAAAAAAAGTATTATCGTCGTTGCGTACCGTATGAACATCAAAGGTTTTCTCGAGCTTAATGCTGAAGCGCCGATCTTCGTCCAGCTCAATGAACCTGTCGCACATACCTCGGTCGTCGTGGCACCAGTCGCACTCTCCCGGGCGGTTTTCGTCGTCCGAGTACGACATTTCTGGCCTATGTTCATAATTCAAATATTAAACTAGATCATTATTATTAATCACGGGTTGACTATCGGTGATATACGTAGCTCCTCCTTTCATTCCCAAGTGCATTATTACACCAAATTGTCTAGCACACGGGAATGGAGGAGAACTTATCCAATATGAGCATTCAATAAGCAAAACCAAATCATAAAATAAGCAAAACCAAATCATAAAATAAAGTAGTATTCAAATTAGCATGCATTCAATAATTATAAGCAAAAGTACATCATCTCTTGGTGTCCGTACATCGTCGAATATTATCACTAATATAGCATCACTAATACAACTAGAACCATAGCGCCCGACGGGTATCGTCGCGGGCGGTGGACACCCAAAGATAAGGAACCATCAGAGGATATTAGCTCCAGTGAGATCCTTGAAGAACCTGCTAGGTATTGTCGAACCTGCCCTCCAATGCAACCATGTAGCGACGGACGTGCTCGTCCTCCTCGCTGACACGGTGACGTACCACCTCCACGGTGTCCGTAAGCCTCAGCACCGTCACTGGCCTACGCGACCGCCACCAAACAAGGATCGGGTCGACAACGGGCTGCCTCCTCGCAAACCTATGTCCCCCAGAAGGTAGCACCTCCCAATACCAGCCCGGTGGAGCCCAGTCCCGAACATGGCCCTGATCAAGCAGGCCTCCACCGCTGAGTCGACGACGACGAGGATGCGGGATAGGCATCGCCGACGTCGATGCAGGAACTACTTCTATATATAGTTAAATAAAGTAGTTTTATTAATTAAATCAACTAGCTAGTTCAACTACTAAGCATTTACTATAAATAAATAAAGTAGTACTAATTACTAAAAACAAACTACTTCTATATATAGTAAAATAAAGTAGTTTTGTAAATCAACTAACTAGTTCAACTATATATGAAGCACTTACTATAAATAAAATAAAGTAGTACCTACTAAAAATAAACTAGTATTTTTCTAACTAATTATATTAAACACTTTCTCTTCTTATTTTTTTCCTTTTTCTAAATACTATGAACAAAAAAATCATTAAAATTCTATGAACAAAATTACAACAGAAAAAAATCATCA